TTTAAAAATGGAGAAGTAGATCTCACTGCTCAGAAATTGACCGCCTTACACTAGTGTCAATTGCTGAAAATTTTGTTTGTAAATTTTGCTCAGTTGTCAGCAGACTTTATGATGATCACTATACTTGATGATTTCTAGATTATATTTACTCAGAGTAGTTCAAAATAATTTTTCTTTCCAGTAAATCAAATTATTTTTGATTGTGTGAGTATGCTGAGACAACATCATAATCACTGTGGTAAATATTATCAAAGTTGTTTATCATCTCGTTAGCTCTCTGAATATTTGAATGTGTGATAAGTGTGCTTTCGTTACTTTGCATCTTAATTCGATAAAACCTTTTCTGAGAATAACTGGCTCAGTGTTTGTGTGTGTGTTTGCCAACAGGGGATAAGTTTTTATTCGGAAATAAAGTCCTAATTCAGTTGTTGTTTATAAGTTCAGTCGGAGGGCTTGAGAATAATAATTTCAAAGGTTATATTCTTAGCCGAAAGTTAAATTTTTAAACAGGTGGATTTTTACCACTTTTCACATTTTTCCCATCAGACATATTATATGACGAGTCACAGTCTATGCAGTTCATTATAAAATCCACATCGACTGACACACTTCACTTGATAATCGATGTCGCATGTCACCTGGTAGATAACCATCAAGAAAGACGATTATTGTAGAAGTCAGTTCCAGCGTATTACATATGGACGGGGTGATAGTTATTTAACGGATAAAAACCAACCTGTGCATTCGCGAAGAAGGTGCTATCTTTCATTTTCATCCATTCGCTTGATTTGAATATTTGACTTTCACTCAACTTATTTTTAATCACTTCAAATTATGAAAAGTCTTAAGTTTTACGTAATGGTTGCTACCAGTGTTTTACACCTTTGATTACTGCCCATCTTTGGTTTCTTGCTACAGCATATTTTTTTTAACTTTTCCTTACATTCATACAATTTTACTAACACCTATAATTCTCTTCTTTCCTTTCTTCCTATTCATTTACATGCATATAAATAATGAAAGTATGTAAATATTTGTACATGGGTATTGAAATTGTTGTAGGGCGTTTGCAATTTACAAGAGCCAACGAAAGAAAGTGATATCATGTTACCCTGTTCAGTTTGTTTAATTTTTTTCAACTCCATCAAATGAAAAAATGTAGAATTACAACGCAGATATTGTCACCTTCAAAAAAGGGATCATAAAGTGCTAAGATCCAGTACTGAACAGCAAGAATACACCGAGTACTATTCACACTGATTCTCAGACCTATTCATAAAGGAATCATTTCACTAATTGGAACAATCATCTGTGGTTTAACTGACAATATGGAAGCGTGAGTCTTATTATACCAGGTTCAGCACTTCCAAATTAGAAAAAACAACAGACCGAACAGAGAAATACATTCCTTTTCAATTACTTCCTCATCATCAGCTCTACACCAATATATATATATATATTTACATCAAAACTTTAGCAATCAAGTGGTTATTTTAGTTAATCAGTTTCAGGTATAAGGAGAGTGGGTAAAATTAAGAGGTTGAAAGTCATCAAAACAATTAACTAATAGATGTTAGCAACAGGATATCTAATTTTTGAAGGATGGGTGAGACTTAATCATGGAATTCAAGACAGGTTAATTCTTAGGCGTTAGCAACAAGTTACCATACAGTCGAGAAATCTGTAAAGTAATGATGACTAAGAATAATTGGATGACTCAGAAGAATTACGTAAAATACAAACAAGTTATTCTGGTATAATTAACTAGAATTTTGAAAAATAACAAAGTCAAAAGATAGTTGCAAAGGGAGGGGAAAAGCTTGTCTTTAAGAACTTAATACGTATTTTGTAGTTGGCCAAGGCGAAGAAAGGGGGTTGAACAAATTTCTTTTGAACACGCAGATTTAGCTTGTTCGGATGAATTTCAACTGCCTATGCTGTATGTAAAAGTCGTACTTGTAGACCATGCGAGAGGTTAGTGATATTCAAAAAATCTTTCAGCAAAAACTTTATACTTTTTCTCTATACTAATAGAATGAATTCAGATCTAATAAGGAAGTTATTCTGAGAAATGCACAGTGGAATTCATGTTTGTCATAAAGCGCAATCTACTAACACTAGAGGAAGTCAGCAAAACACTTCTAATTGTCAACCTCTCCTAGGTTGCTATCAATTCGTGACAGAAATGATGCCATTTCGGCATTTCGTTTGTGATAAAATTTTCATTCTCTCCTTTTGAATGCATGTGTCATCTGCATACTATAACTGCATGAAATGATAAAATCAAAAATCAAGCAGGACTGTTAAGTAGGTTACAGATGAATAATTCCATGGTGTACATATATTTAGTACAGGTATCTCAATTGTTTACATGTTATAATAATGTACCGCCTAATAAGAACCTTGAAAGCAAAAAGCGACACAATGCGAACATATAATTACATAAAATTATCATAAACAATAATTACCCTTAAATATAGTAAGCGAATAGTAGTACTTCAAGTATATAAAGTATGTTGGTACAAGAGAGAAGTTATACACAGTTGTACTAATCTATACACACATTGATGACTGCAGAAGTTCCACTATTTTGACAAGTGAACATTAAATATGAGGTTATTTTATAACTTAAAGATAAGTGACAAATAGTCGTTACTTATATGGATTACTAACCATTTTATGTATACGCAAATACTTACTAAATTCTCACGAGAATAACTTTATACGCATTCAGAAATAAGAAGACAGTTGCAGCGAATAAAATTTTCTTTTCGACGAAGTCATCATCTAGGCTGTACATTCGTGTATTTATATCAAATGGATGGGAAAGTTCCAGAATAATTTCTGGTTAGGGGTCAAACTAATAAAAATTACAATTAGGAATTAGAATGCCATAATAAGCAGGGGGATGGGTAAAACTCAAACAAAGTGGCATAATAACTAAGAAGATTGACATTGTGCAATTGGGGGTTAGAAATGTAGAAATAACAAAATATACAGGATGTTTGCATAAGAAACTAGTGTGATGAATAATTGTTTGTGCAATCAGGGATTAAATATGTAGAAATAGTAAAATGACAAAATAAACAGGAAGTGTGGATATGAAAATATGATAGTGTAGACAGGGATTAAGAAAACTTAAAATAACATGAATAAACAGCAAGTTTAGATAAGAAAGGCGATGGGATGGTCATTATTAAAAAATATACGTGTTTATGATGGCCATGGCAGGGACAGGGGTTGGGCGTATTTCAGTGACAGAACATCTGGTCAACTCAGGACATTCAGCGCCTTTCGAAAAGTCCTTCAAAGTAATTTACAAGATCCAATCAAACCTATCAAAGGGAGTGAATTCAAGACATTTGGGCATAGCTGAGGCGTTAGCTATCCAAAAACTCAAACCCACTCTTTGTATCCAAAAGAAATACGTCCAACCACTGTCCCTGCCATGGTCATCATAAACACGTATATTTTTTAATAATGACCATCCCATCGCCTTTCTTATCTAAACTTGCTGTTTATTCATGTTATTTTAAGTTTTCTTAATCCCTGTCTACACTATCATATTTTCATATCCACACTTCCTGTTTATTTTGTCATTTTACTATTTCTACATATTTAATCCCTGATTGCACAAACAATTATTCATCACACTAGTTTCTTATGCAAACATCCTGTATATTTTGTTATTTCTACATTTCTAACCCCCAATTGCACAATGTCAATCTTCTTAGTTATTATGCCACTTTGTTTGAGTTTTACCCATCCCCCTGCTTATTATGGCATTCTAATTCCTAATTGTAATTTTTATTAGTTTGACCCCTAACCAGAAATTATTCTGGAACTTTCCCATCCATTTGATATAAATACACGAATGTACAGCCTAGATGATGACTTCGTCGAAAAGAAAATTTTATTCGCTGCAACTGTCTTCTTATTCCCTATGATCAAATGTGTGCATTCAGAAATGTTTGATTTATTTCAAAAGAAGTTTTGTTTTCTGTACTGTAAAACATAGTGCTGACTGCATACTGATATATGGACTTATATACAGATGAGTGAGCACTCTTTGGAACATTCTTAGCAATCTCGGATCGATACTTGATGTTTCCAATGAGGAAATTATTATAGAATAGTACTTTACCACTGTGTTCATGTTTTTCACATATATTAAAGACGTTATTGTTTTAAATCCACAAATTTCTCCCACTATTCAAGAGAGAAAATCACACTCATTTTAAAATCTAAATAAGACAATTTGATATGAAAATCTAAGAGACTATCTGGTATGACCAAAGTAGCATCTATTCAGGGTGTTCTGCATATAATCTGGCTTCATTCCATCCATCTTACCAATATCAGATTGACATATATTCTTGAAAAGTATCCTACTCTTCATCGATGTTCACACTACTCCACGCAGTTACCGCTGAGTTGGGGCGAAATTCTCTTTCAAGGTAACAGAGTAACCTTGTAACAACAATCAGCCAAGAAATCTAATAAGTCTTTGTTTTAAGTTGTCGTTTAGCTGAGTACCACTCAATATCAAAAGGAGTTCAAAAAGACAATTAAAATTGGAGTACTAGTAATAACTTGAATGTTTGTGTTCGTTGTGCTTTCATCATTATCAAATAGGCTATTTTAATTAAATTGTCAACAGTTGGTTAGCATTTACCCAACACTGAAAATTCACTATGAATAGAAACAAGTGAGGAGATCAATCCTCCAGATCAACTAGGTATTTTCTAGGCGTTACTGACTTACTACTAGTTGTTTGTAGTTTTTCACATTCTGTCCAAATTTTCCACACATTTCAATGTATTTAAGTCACCTACATATTGTATCAGTAGCACAAATTTTAGGTCTATAGTATACAACATACTCGCCTACAACCAAATGGAAATTTTCCACTTTTGTGTGATGTACTCATCATTATTTTAAATTATACAATAAGTATTAATGAAAAAAAATAAAAATCATGAGTGCTTCTGTAGACTTACACTTTCATATTTCCTGACTGCCTACAAATAATTCTTACTGCTGTTGTAATACGTATTGGTATACTAAATTGTGATAGTATATATATTTATATATATATATATCATGGTTATGAGACATTAAAAAGGAAATCAGTGAGGCATTGAGAAGGGGGTGTTAGAAAGATGTATTAGCAGCGATGAGAATAGTATTTACCTTTCATGGATAGGAAAATGAATAGACATGTAACTAGAGGGCTAGATAGACACAGGGAAATGTAGAAGATTAGGAAACAGCGTTACTGTTACTGCACACTTTTGCATGTCATTTATCACTTTTATTTGATTGGCTTGTACGCAAACGAAATATGATTGAAAGTCTAAATACCTTAAAGAAACTAGGTTTTTTGCAAAGCGAATTGAAAATAAGCCTGAAACAATAATGAAGTGCTATATGATGTAAACAAAATCATATTTCAGATGTTCGGTTTTTGAAGATTTAATTAATTTCAATGTAGACTTTACCACGAACATATATCAGTTAGGAAAATCCACGAAATTAGAACGAAACAATTGTCCATTTCTATTGGTTAACTGTGATTGTGTTACCAATGTCGGACCTTGACGAAATTTGTGTTTGTATAAACTTGATGCTACAGCTTTCCATGACTTTTTCAATAGAGTTTGATTTCAGGTAATATGAGCAGTTTGATATATTATGAGCAACTAATAGTAGTTGGAGAATAAATCAGAAATAATTCTCATTAATCACCATCAGAGGGAGAGATTTTACAGAGGTGACCTCCCTCATCTATCTAGGAAGGTTTGTTTCAAATACAGGCGGAACGGATGAAGATACCAGCGCCAACCAGAATCGGAGAGACAAGCAAGATACGCCCTGATCAATCTGAAATCAGTTTGGAATTCCTCCGTACTCACCTAGGATATAGAACAGTATTCGCATTTCCAACACAAATGAGAAGCCAATCAGTGCTTCTATATGGGTTAGAAACTTGCACTGCGTGTCAGTCACGAAAGAGATTTCCAACAGCCAGCTGCAGATCTTTGTCAACAGCTGCCCTCTTCGCCGGCTGCATACTGAATATCAGAAGGCCGACCGGCCAGAAAGAATCAGCAACAAGAAACTCTGGCTGATAACAAACCAACAAGCAAGAGCCAATCGCTCAACAAATATGTAGGAGAAAATGGAGATTGATCAGGCACACACATAGAATGACGTCGCGCTCAATGTAGACCATCGCTCGAGTGGAATCTCAGTTGGAAGAGACCAATGGGTCGTCGGTTCGAGGGTGACATGAAAGAGGTCTTGTGGGGAGGAGGAGATGAGAGACTATAGGCAATCGCGGTCCGTGCTGAAGAGGACAGCACCAACTAGAACAACGTGGAGATGCGTTTTTAAGCCCTATACTCCACTAGTAGCGAAGGGAATAATAAAATGTGTGTACCCTTGAATAAATAACTTAAAATGGAAAAAGGTACACAGGAGACACTAAAGGGACATTCTGACTGAATTATCTAGTCAGTAAGTTATTTTCAAAAGTGATATTCCAATCATTATTCATTTCCCAAAAAATCAAAGAGGTATCAACTGACTAAAGAAAATACACCTTACGTCAGATTAAACTGGAAGTATAAGTTTAAACAGGATCAATAAATTGTATCGCAGGTAATTATATATGTAGGATATCTTATACAATGTTATCACTGTCTGTTTACGAAATATAAAGTAAATCGCTGAGGAAGAAATTTTTCAGTCCTGGTGATAAATAATGCTAAATGTACTAACTTAAGTCTTAGGGATATTCCTTACTTAGTGGGAGGACTCTAATTACCGAACTGATAAGTTGCCCATTGAAGATACAAAATGAAAAAAAATTTCACGGTAGGAGAATTTTGTATACTGGTAACCATATTGGCAACTATATTGTCTTGTCATTATTCCACTGAGTCTATGCAGATGGTAAAATAAAAGGTGTGTAGGCTGTGGTTCTAGCTTGTTGTAATTAATCTGTTGATTCTGATATACATGGTTCTCAAACTTTATCCCAAGTTCAATTGATATAGTACAACCTGAAAAACATAGTCCGTTAGAAGTCATTTGTCTAGAACTTCTCAGATACCTTTACTATTTGCACCTATACAATAAATAGTGACTTTGTGGTCAGCTGACTTTAATGGAATCTATCTATTTAGTCTTCATGACATCAGTAGGAAGACTTTTTAATGCTGTGTTCTGAAATATCAAGGAAATCTGAGGGAAACTTTTAAAGCGAACTAGCGACTCTACCATTTAAAATCGATCCAATGGCTACAGAAACTTCCGTATTTAGAAGGGAAAAATATAAATGCCTATTGTTTGCTGGAATCGGAGAGATGAAATGACATTAGACAGTCAGTCAGCCTATATGTCTCCTTCCGAAGAGAGCAAAAGTAAGGATGGGGACATGGAATGTTCATACAGTGTACATAGATTTGAAGGCTCCCCAGGTTGCCAAATAAGTGAGAGGATATGGCATAGGTGTGTTAGGGATCTATGACAGCTAGTGGAATGGACACGGACTATCAAAATCGTCAACTTGAGAGGCAATAATCCCCTGTGGTCACCCAGACGACAACCAAAAGAACACTGAAACAGTGGTTACCATCACCAACAGCAGCCAAAGCTTTTATGCAATAGGAACTAATTTCATCCGGGATTATGACAACAAGATTCAATTCAAAAGAGAGGAATGTCACAATTATCCAGCGCTACAAACAACACGGATAAGAAAGGCAATGCGATAGTCACAGTTAAAAGAATTACCTGTTTATGATGGCCAAGACAGGGACAAGGGTTGGACGTATTTCTTCTGGATACATAGCTTTTGGATAGCTAGTGCCTTAGGTATGCCCAAATGTCCTTATTTCACTCTTCTGATAGGTTGATCGAATGTTGTATATTATTTTGAAGGATGTTTCCAATGGCGCTGAACGTCCTGAATTAACCAGATGTTCTGTCACTGTTCTGAACTATATACACGTTTTCGTTCTCCTCTTTCTCATTCTGAAATGAAGGAGTAGAATTATGAGGCTGATATTTAGTCATGTTAACTGTATGAAAATTAGCACCATACGTATTTATGAATTTCTAGTCCATGATGAAATAAATCGACGAATACTGGTTTCCTTATGACAAATATGCTAAAAACCGCTGTATTAGGCAAAGTTGTGGAAAGATTTAGTGACATTAACCATGAGAAATTATTATCGGGTGAATAATTCCGAAAACTTAGAAACCATTGAGTGTAGATAAATTTCCTTTTAATTTATCTTTCAGTGAAATAGATCATTTTAAACTCACCCTTCTAAGAAGTCAATAATAAACTGCTGTCTACAAACATAACTACCGAGAGCCATCATAAAAATCTTTCAGTTTGTCAGGTTCCATATTGAGTTTCTCCGGATTAATAAGCGATTTTGTTTCCATATTTTGAAAAAATGGATGATGGACAAATGGAATGAGTGATCAAATTATTCTTGCAGTATTATTATTGTTATCAATAACAGCTTTATTCTGAACAACATTTTTACTTACAATACAGTATTTTCAGTTTGGTTTTTTCTACCACTTATACTGAATCTTCAAGTGAAACAGTAACCCATAGAATATCATTCGATGCGATCTTGTTCTATCTGTGACATGCTACTAATACCGACATATCTATCGCTTCAAAACACACCAAGTGGCATGTCGAAAGCGACTGAAAAATGCACTTGAGTGCAAATACTTCTCAAAGACATAAATAAGTGGTCAAAGCACAGCATAACTGATTAAATTTGGCCCACAGTATTGTGAAAAATTATGTAGCGCAGCACCACCATCACTTTAACTTCCGCTTGATCAACCTGATGTCTCTGACATCCTAGCTTTAGTTCTTTATCGCTCCCTTTTAGTCTTTGCTGGGCTACTGAGAAAGGACTATATCACATTGCGAACGGTATTAAAGGTTGTCACTAGTGCTTGTAGTGTGCCAGTAGGTCAGCTCGTTTCCAGTGTAGTCGACAGACACTTGAACTTGTGTGGAAAATGGTCCACATCCGTACTGTCTCACTCCCAACACTGTATTTATTCACAGCCCTTCCCATGCATCTCATCAGGAAGGAATAGTAGTCATTATAAAAGATTGTATGCTCGCACAAACAAGCACAAAATCACTCAACGATACCCTATTGGGCTCACGTCCCATGTGATAGAGAAAGCGTTAAGCGTGAAACTTACAACTTTTTATGCAATTAACAAGATAAGTGACTCTTTTATTTACTCGTATTTGTAATTTATGGTGACATTATACCAAATATTATATAATTTTAATTAATAAAGTTACCTTCACCATTTAACACTTCCAGTACATTTTTGATCAAAAAGCTACTGTTGAGAATTTCGGTTATATATACCCTGTAAATATTTCTTCCTGTTTGCTGTTCTTGAATAAATTAGATGCAATACCGAATGCTTAGAATTCCACACTATATCGCAAGTACTGTTTTGGAATAAAGCAACTTATTATTATTATTACTAGATTTCTTAGAACAATATCGGTCATTTTGCGAATTTCACATTTCCGGATGACAATTCACTGCGTCTTGTTTCTAGGACTGAAAACACTCAGGTGAAAATCTTTTTCATCTATTCGATCCTACAGATAGCAATGAAAAACCTAGTAATATTTTAAGACAGTATTTACTACTGATTCAAATGAGTGGTGAAGAACAATCCATGTCAATCAGTAGTGCTTACTAGCCAGATCAAAGCAATCTCAATACGAGATAACACTTCCCCCTAATTCAATTCTGAGTTTATCAGTCAAGTAACAAGTTAGACTCAGCTCACTTCAATCCACTCGAATTTTGACCATCTACTCGGGTGAATTGGAGAGACAGAGAATTAAATGCGTCATTTGCTCATGATACGATGTGAAGAGATTTACCATGATTCCTTTTGGAAGTGAAAGAGACGAATGAGTTGGTAATCCCAAACACATGCATATTTCGGCTTTTTTTATAGACTCACCATACCTATAGACTAAGTGCTTTTTTAGTTTCTTTTCTCATCAATTTACTACTTAAACAGTAAATGTAAATGAAATCAATTCTGTATACATAAATACATATAACGTGATGAAGATAAATTAAAGAAAACTCTTAAATACTATT